GGGAGCAGAGGCTGCCAGAGCCGACAGCACTCGCCACTCCCATCCAGTTGGCTTGCGCTGTGCCTCACGCACCAGGCATCCTTCTGGCCATTCGAGCTGTCAGGGAAAGGGTGCCCCACCCTGTCCCCGTGAAGGCACTTGGTGTCCAACTGCCATCCTCCCTCTTGCACATTTGCTGGGCCCCAAGTGTTTGTGCAAAGGAGCGGCTTTGTTTCCTTGTCCCCTTTGGACTGGGGGCGGAAGGACTGGGTGCAGAAGCGGGCTTGAAAGGATGGTGCTGGCGTCCGACGCCATGGAGCCCCCCTCTGTGATGCCAAGCGAGGGCGCCATGGGACAGTGGCAGCAGCCAGGCTTCAGATCGAGTCGGGTGGGTCTCATCGAGGGCAGATAGATGAGTCTGTTGTTGATCAGCTGGCCCTCACTCCAGTCTCTTCTGTTGCATTCACCTTTTCAAAAATTACTGGCGATTTTTGTTCTTTAAAAAATGGTATTTTCTAATTGATCTTCAGTGGGGGGTATATTACATCATTTAAAAAATATTCCAGAAAAGAAAGAAAAACAGAGTAAAGCTTTATTTGTACCTTATACAATGGTACTAGCTAGTTATTCTTGAACTCCTGGAACGTGGGCTTCTGACAGTACATGGGCCAGTAAGTGACATCTGAGCCCCCCGATTCAAACCTCACCTTCCAGAAGCTTTCAGGACATGTTTTCCTGATACACATTGATACTCTCCACTCAGGGAGGTCAGTGGTTTCCTCAAGGTCACACACCTAAGTCAGAGGCAGAGCTAAGACTTGGACTCAGATGCGGCTGATTTCTGAGACGATGGTCTTTTTGCTGTAGCCTGCCTTCCCGTGAGCCTGAAGCCGGTGTGGAGAGAGGCAGCTGCAGAGGCACAGAACCTTTGACCGGGTGTCACCTGGCTTCTCAGGACTCTCTGGCTTACACAGGGGCACCGCAGGCCTGGGACAGGCATGAGGGACTTTTGAATGACCTTCACCCTTCACCTTTCACCCCCCAGGAAACGGACTTGCTTTCAGCAGACATCACAGCCTGTCTTCAGGGAGGGTGGCATGTGGACGGTGTGCAGGGTGCTTTGTGTTCCTTCTGTCTCAGCCTCAGAACAGCCCTAGGGTCGGGGCTCTTGGTCTGCGGTCTGCATGTTTCTCACTGGCGTCTGGAGTTGCAGGGGCTTGCCCACAGCCTCACAGCCCCTGAGTGGTTGGGTGGGATTTGAACCAGGGGCACTACTGCCTGCAGGCTATGCTTTTCTTCCCTGTGCACCCCCTCCGGTCAGGGCTGGGCGGGGTCTGGGGGCTCAGGCTGGGAAACCTGCTGACTGCTAGTCTCTTTCTTTTTTTTTTTGAGTCGGAGTCTCACTCTGTCGCCCAGACTGGAGTGCAGCGGCCACTCCCGGGCACCGCAGCCTCGACCTGCTGGGCTCCGGCGATCCTTCCGCCTCAGCCTTCCAAGTAGCTGGAACTACAGGCGCGTGCTACCACGCCCAGCTCATTTTTGATTTATTGTAGAGATGAGGTCTCGCCAAGTTGCCCAGGCGGGTCTCGAACCCGCGGGCTCAGGCAATCCACTCACCTCAGCCTCCCAAAGCGCGGGATTACAGGCTGAGCCACCGAGCCCGGCTGCTAGTCTCGTTCTTACATGGCCGCCTCGCTTGCCCCAGGTCCTAGGTGGGTCTGACTAGGCCGGAGAGGAGCTCCCCTTAAAGGCTGGGCGCTGCCTGGAGCAGAGCAGGCCCTGAGTGCTGCCCTTCTCGGTATGCCTGTCGTCACCAGGACCCTCCCCAGCCCAGGGCTCCTCTCACCCTTGCTTTCTTTCACCCTTGCTTTCTTTCACCTGGGAGGCGTTTGTTTAGAAACTGGTAATGATGGAGACATGTTCCTTAATTGATTCGGCTCGGACTTTTAAGAGAGTCACTCAGGCTAAATGTGGTTCTGGTTTTTGGAACTGTTTCTCTTAGCAGTGGTGCTGTGAGTGTAAACTGGTTTAGAATAGAAACTCCTTTTAACCTTGACTAGGACAAAAATAAAACATGGCTGAGGGCAGTCTTCTCTTGGACTCAGTTCAGAGATGGGAGAGGCTCTCCAGGGGGAGCCAGAACCTCGGGGAGCCGCCCTCTGTCCCAGGGAGGGCTCTCGGGGGCCAGGTCCTCCCTGGGGGCTGGCCTCAGCAAAGGCCCACGTGGCTCACTCCGCTTCGGCTCTGCTGGCCGCACCATGGGGAACAGGCCACATGCCGAAGTGCGAGGTTGGCTGCCGAGGAGGGCAGTGCGCGGTGGCCCGCTTAGTGGCAGTTGGAGTGAAGGGGCTGCCCGAGTGTCCAGTGCCTGTAGAAAGCCCTCTCAGAGGCCATCTTTGGGAAACAACACGGTTCCCAACACCTTACCTTCTCCCAGGAAAGGTCAACAGACTGCCTAATGGCCTGGAGGCTGCTCAGCGTTCGGCAGCGCCCAGTCACCACAGAGGCCATATGTTTTCTTCCACCTCCGTGGCCAGCCTGCAACGCTTTCTGCACCTACGTGCCTTTGCGATTTCTGGGGCGCTGGCTCTTGGTTGTTTAGTGACTTCGGTAATAGGTTCTGCTAAAGACGTTTGTTTAGGGACGGGGCGAGGATGGCATGACTTGGTTTCCAGCATTCGTTTGCCTACGGCCACGAGTCCCTAGTGGTCTTGGCTACCCGGCGTGGGCACAGAGCTCCAGGTCAGCGCCTGCTGCCTCTGCGCTTTTAGAGCAGGCCATCTGGATCAGGCATTTCCCCTCTTAAGCTCAGTCAACTCCACAGACTGGGACAGAGCCCCTTTCCAGCTGTCACCCTGCCCAGCCAGGTGCTGCCACCAAGGGAGGCTAGTCGCATTCGATTCTGGTCAGTTGAGTGCGTGTCAGCATCCTGGCAGGGGTCTGCAGGGCAAGCCGTACAAGGGCACTGTCCTCGCAGTCGTCACTTAGGAAAGAGCGAGGCTTGCACCTGCTTCTCTTTGCATGTAGAACCTCTGGAAGGGTAACGAGATACCAATAAAAAATAGTTTCCAGTTCAGAGGCAGGTGGGGACTGGGGCAGATGATGGTGGGGGGTATTAAAAGGTATTTAGACTGGGTCTGGTGGCTCACACTGTAATCCTTGCAATTTGGGAGGCCGAGGTGGGAGGCTCACTTGAGCCCAGGAATTGAGACCAGCCTGGGCAGCATAGTGAGACCCCATCTCTACAGAAAATTAAAAAATTAGCTGGGAGCGGTGGTGTGTGTCTATAGTTCCAGCTATTCAGGAGGCGTAGGCAGAAGGATCGCCTAAGCCCAGGGCGAGTCTGCAGTGAGCTGTGATTGTGCCACCGCACTCCAGCCTGGGCAGCAGAGACCCTGATTTTAAAAAAAGCATTTAATACCTTCTAATTCTTTTTTACTGAAAGTCCTTTTATATTGTAGCCATGGGACTGTGTTACATAGTAGTAATAATAATAAAGAAAGAGAAAGAAAAGCGCCCCTTTCCCGGGCGGCTGGCTTGGCCATGTGGCTCTGGGCGCACCTGGAGGTGTTTGGGGAATCTGTCTTCAAGGCCGGGCTATAGATGGTGGGCACCCTTCAGGCAGGCTGCAGCCGCCATGGCAGAACAGGCTGTCTTCTTGCTCTCTCGAGGCTGGGCCTTCAACGCCATGCTGTCAGGCTCCCAGCAGAGGCCTTGGGACACAGCCTGCCTGCGTCTGGAGCGGGGGTTGATGGAGAAGGCGACTGAAGACGCTGGGCCAGCGGAGCCTGGCTTCCAAGTGGCCACAAAGAGAGAGAAAGGGTTTCTTGAGCTGTTCCGTGCGCTATTAGGTGACCCCAGGAAAGGTCACTGGACACCTGGCTTGAGGGCAGGGAGCCTGGTGCGGCCACGCTCGGAGGGGAGCAGCCTCGCTGGGACACAGGTCTGCGCTCCTGCACGGAGCGGCCTCACCGAGGGTGGGCGTGAACGGCCGTGGCTCCGGTTGCCTGGCAGGGAGTTGGGAGGGCTCTTTCCACGCGACGCACGTGGCTGTCCTCAGGGACCTGCTGGGTGGGCGAGCACGCCCGTTTCCAGGGGAGGGCGCCGTGGCTCAGAGAGGGTCCGTAGCCTCCTGAGAGGCAGAGCCTGGGCCAGCTCCGAAGCCCGCCTCCCTCCCTCACGGCGGCTGGGCCTTCTCTTGCAGGTGACGATGCCTGGGGAGCCGGTGGATGTGGCGTGTGGTGTGGATCACATGGTGACTCTGGCCAAGTCGTTTGTCTGAGCCTCCGCCCCGGTCGGCCCTGTTGGGCTGGCCCTGGCCTCAGAGCCGGGCAGACTGCTCAGCAGAGGCCGGCACGCCGCTGGCCCTCCGGGTCTTGAACGGTGGCGGAAGAGGGCCGGGACCCTTGGTGCAGTGTGGCGCCCTCTCCTAAGTCCCCTGGCGGCGCGTACTACAGTGAGAGTACGTGGGGTGAAGTCTCCAGCTGAGGGAGGCCTGCTGGATTCAGCCGAGGACAGCTGTCTTCCGGGGGCTGAGCTCCTCAGGGCCCCGGGGCTGCCGCGGCCCCACTTTCAGCGCTCTCCCGGTGACACGGACGGCTTCTGGCGTCACATCTGGCCCAAGAAACAAACCTGTCTTGGGAAAGCACAGTTCTCACGGCCTGTCGTTTCGCTTGATCTTGAAAGTGGCCCGACAGCACAGGGCTCGGGAGGTTTCTGTTTCCCCGTCACGGCAGGTCTCTTGCGTGTGTCTGGCAGGCCGTGCGCGGGCTTCAGGCCGAGCCCCAGCTTAGCCGAGGGAGCTGGGCTGTCTTTGGGCGGAGGTCTTCATGCCAGTCACCCTGCTCACAGCCCTGTCTGGTTGCTGCCACACCACAGGCTTGCTGGTTGGACCCAGTAAGCGCCCCGAAATACCTTGGGCGGGGATTCTCCATGGAGCGAGGCATGCGCCAGCCCCGGGGCCCGTGGCTCTCCCAGCCTTGTAATCATTTTCACTGCCTGGCTTGGGAGAGTTGAGAAGCCCCTCAGGAAGGAAACTGAGGCCGAATTCTTGTGGGCCGAGGGCGCTGAACACATCCGCAGAGGCTTGGCGGGAGTGCCAGCCTTGGAGAAGAAGGATCCAGAAATTGTGAAAGACATTGGATTTAGTCATGGAACTTGTCTTCGCCTTTAAAAACATCCTTTAAAAACTCTCTTGGAATAAAGTCTGTTTTCTCCTTTTGATTTTTAAGAACTGAAGGAGTCTTTACGATTGTACTTGATCATTTAAAGATTAGCTTTTAAAAACAAGGCTTTTGAGGAGGAGGCAAGTAGAAGCCAGCAGAAACGACTTCAGAAGACAGTCCTGCGTGGAAGGGTCTTCTGAACAGATTCCCCCCCGTAGTTCGGTCAGGAGGAATGTTTGGCGCTCACGTCACAAGCCGGGCTCTCACGCGCTGCCTGCCCACGCTGTTCCTTCTGTGCCTTCACTCAGTAGCTGCTTGTTGTGTACCCCTTAGGAGCCAGGTACTGTTCCTTACACTGGGGCACGCGGTGGCCAAAACCCCTTCCCGTGAAGCTTACGTTCTAGGGAGGGAAACATGGTCGACAAGTGACGTCCTACGTGTGTTAGATGGCTCCGTGGGCTGTGGAGAGACACCAAGGAAGGGGGTGGGATACTGGGAGGGCTGCACGTTAGGGCAGGATGGTCACCAAGCGGCCGCGTCCTGGCAGTGCCTGAAGCCGTGAGAGCCGGCTCGGGTGCCTGGGGGAGTGGACCGTCACGGCCACTGCGGGGACCCCTCACTTGGGGCTGTGAGCACCGTTCTCAGGCTTATTGCAGTAAGGTCTGTCTGTAGGTTTGAAATAGAAATTGAAAACTGTCATTTTCCTTCTGGAAACTCTTGCTCGGGCCGGGTCTGAAGTCACCCTGCAGTGAGGAACAGTGATCCGACCTCAGAGCAGTAGCAGCCGTGAAGCGCATTTTGACTTTCAGGGGTCAGGCGGGGGTCACACTGGCCACGGTTCAGGATGTCGGTGAGGGTGGCTGATGAGGGTGTCTGGGGAAGGAAGGCTTTTTTAAGGCGCCCACCCACATGACAGCCAAGATACAGATCCTGGCCTTGGCCATAGCAGGGATGACCTCGGGCTTGTTTTAAAACCCAGTTTCTTCCAGCGGGGCTTGGTCTGCCAGGCCCTGCCCCTGGTTGTGCCCTCTCGAGCGTTAACAGGGCTCCTGGTGGGCGCACCTCTACCTCGTTGTCACCTGTGCTCATGCTGTACACACACACACACACACACACACACACACACACACACACACACCCCGGCATTTGACACACACGTGGAAACGCGGCTCCGCCATTAACTGGTTGCTGCGCTTTTTCATTGTGTTCCTGGGAAAATCAGTGTTTGCGAGCCCCGTCTCCTCTCGCTTTGGCGAGCGCAGGAGTGACACGCTGGTGAAAGCCCGCCTCGTGCCAACTCCCACATGCCTTCCAGCCTTTCTCTCCTTCCACACAGGCTCTGTCCCTTTATGTTGGGCCAGCAGCCAAGGCCAGAGGGGCGCCCGAGGAGAAGGCGTCCGCGTCCGCTTAGCGGCCCCCGGCAGCTGCCAGCACCTCCCCCACGGACAGAGTCTGTCGCAAGGTGCGTGGGTCGCAGTCTTCCGTCCTGGCGCCTGCCACCATCCACAGGGATTTCTAGGGGGAGAGGGATGGCTCTTTCTGGCAGGCAAAACCTGAAATCAGTTCATAAAAGCCCGCCGTTCGTGTAAGGTCAACCTCAGTAGATGCCTATCATGACTCTTGCCTCTTGACTAGACGGCTGGCACGTATTTTCGTTAACTCGGGGGATAGCCGCTTACTGGGTTCCGCGCGACAGGGTCGAACCCTGAGAAAAACGCCCAAAGAGAGCGCTCCGGCCGGGCACAGCAGGTGAGTCTGCGGCTGAGTGCCTAGCGCCGCCACACCTGGCCCCGGGTGGGCACTCAGGATGCATTCGGGAAGAGTCCACACCTCCTGCCTCCCGCCCGGGCCAGCGTCTGAAGGGGCCCGAACCCGCCCGAACAGCAGCAGGAGTTCTTCAGACTGTTGAGGGCCGTTTCCTCTGCGGTCCGTGGCATCACGGCTCCGCTTCACCGTGCAGCCTGGCGGGACGGACCCTTTCCGATGGCCGCGGGGATGGCTGCCAGCCTGGACGCGGCATCTGCGCCGGGCTCGGTCCAGCCTGTGATCACGCACCAGGACCTTGTCCCTGACGAGGCCCCCGCACTGGCTTTCCCTCCCAAGGGCCGCCCTGCGGCGCCCTGCAGGACTCTGGCTGCGCCAAGAAACCCAAACTTGATTCCACAGCTGCCTTGGTGGTCAACATGGACGCCGCGGCAGCCCCAGTCAGCTCGGGCTAGGGGGAATGGTAGGACTCCCTCCAGCTGTGCTTTCTCAGACCTTGACCATGCACCCTTAAGGGTCCAGTTTATTTTTATTATTATTATTTTTTGAGTCGTAGTCTCGCTCTGTCGCCCAGACTGGAGTGCAGCAGCCACTCCTGGTCACCGCAGCCTCGACCTGCCGGGCTCCAGCGATCCTCCCACCTCCGCCTTCCGAGTAGCCGGAATTACAGGCGCGCGCCACCACGCCCGGCTGATTTTTTGATGTATTGTAGAGATGAGGTCTCGCTGCCCAGGCAGGTCTCGAACCCGCGGGCTCAGGCCATCCACTCACCTCGGCCTCCCAAAGGCGCGAGATGACAGGCTGAGCCGCTGAGCCACCAAGCCCGACTGGCAGGAGCCTTTCAAAAGCCAGTGCTTGAGGGAGGAATGAGGGCGTGTGCTGTCTACCTGCACCTAGCGGTGTCGGTTCCTGGGTTTCTGGCATCGAGGAATCCTTCCCGTGGCTGGGCATCCAGCCCTTGACCCTCCACCATTGGCAAGGCCCTGTATCGCCCCATGGGCTCCAAGCCCCAAGGCCGCCTCTTCACCTCCAGGTTGTCACCTTTGTGTGGTTTCCTCCTACGTCCCATCAGCTGTGTGACACCAGAGTATGGTGAGAGTGATCTGGTACTTTTTTTGAGTCGAGGTCTCACTGTGTCACCCAGGCTGGAGTGTGTGGTACGATCTTAGTTCACTGCAGCCCTGCCCTGGGCTCAGATGATCCTTCTGCCTCAGCCTCCTGAATACCTGGACTTCAAGCCCACGCTACTGCATCCAGCTAATTTTTTGATTTTTTGGTAGACGAGGTCTTGCTATGTTGCCCCGGCCGGTCTCGACCTCCTAGGCTCCAGCAGTCCTCCTGCTTCGGCCTCTCAAAGTGCTGAGATGACAGGCCTCAGTGAGCCACCACGCCCAGCAATGTGCGAATTCTGAAGCTGGGACCACACTGAGGACACTCAAGCAGTGCTGTGGGTGGCCCACCCAGGGAAAGGCTGAGGGCTCCTGCCCACAGCCGGGCCCCCTGGAGGAGGTAGAGCCTCCAGTCCTCACCCGAGGCTTCACACAGCTCCAAGCTCATGAGTGAACCCTGAGCCAGAACTGCTCAGCCAAACGGGTTCCTGAATTCCTGACCCACAGAAATGTGGTATCGAGGTAATTACTATTTCTGCTGGGTGTGGTGGCTCGCGCCTATCATCCCAGCACTTTGGGAGGAAGAGGCGAGAGGACTGCCTGAACCCAGAGGTTCAAGACCAGCCCGGGCAACATAGTGAGACCGCCTCTCTACAATAAAGAAAAAATGTAGCTGGGCATGGTGGTGCACACCTGTAGTTCTGGCTACTTGGAGGCTTGGATCTCCCAGCCAAAAAATTATTCTAAGCCACTCAGTTTTGGGCGGCTTGTTCCACGGCATCAGGTAACGGTACGCAGCCAACCTCTCTCGCTCTGGGGGCTACTCTCTCCTCAGATTCTGGGGGTTGCTCGCCCCTCCCCTGGCCACTTCCCTTACCGACGTGGAAGAGAGGTGAGGCGTGGCCCTGGATAGGGCGGCACAGAGTTAAACAGCTGTCAGCCGACATGGGTTTTTTTTTCCTTCATTTTAATGAACACTTTACAAAGTACAAAATATACTGTCTTTTGGGGGGAACATTAGGTACTTTTTTTCTTTCCATCATACAGTACATGAATCTCGAGGGTTTTGTGTTTCTTCGACAATAAAATAAGCGTGAGGGCCCCGAGGGC